ACATTTTGCTCCTCTTACCTCTACAATAGTTTCGCTAGAGAAAATATTTACTTTCCCTAGGGAGACTGGCATAACAAGTTTGACCAGTGTAAAAGTCTTATCAGTTTCAAAAGCTTTCAAAAAGCTTTCAAAAGCTGCATAATTACGACATTAAGAGTTTATCTGAGCAGACAGCCATGGAAAATGTTTATAATTCTATTTAAGTGGAGTTGAAATTAATCATCTAAAATCAAGCTCCCTTTCACTTACCTTTCAACCACCATCTTATGCACTTCCTTCCAATTTTCACTATCATTGTCCGTTCCCATTTCTGGATTCAATTCCTGGAGAGAAACACCTGCCACATTCACACCACTCCATACAGCCACTGTTTAAAAGACAAAAAAAAAAAAAAGGCATTGCAGATATTTCTGACATTATTTTAAAAAATCTTTTCTTCTTTTAGTTCAATTTCACCTATGATGCAAGTTACTGAATATCAACTGGAACTGCTCCAATAAGTGACTCTCCAGTAGATTCCAGTATAGTCCCCCAAAAGGCTGACATTTGCCTTCAAATAGCAACATGTCTGACCTTTTAAATGTCAAGAATTTTAGTGCAAAGCAGAATTGCTGTGTCATAGTTACAAAGAAAATAAAAATCTTTGCTTCTCTCTAGGTGTGTGAAATCACAGGGATTCTAGTCGGGGACTATGCTAAACTTTTGGTTTGAGGAATGTGTAACTTTTCTCCTCCATATTTTTCTAATATATGCTCCTTTATTCTAGAGTAAAGAAAAAAATCCTAGAATAAAACCCAAATAAAGCACAATTATGAAAGTCGGGTAAAAATTATAAATAAGGGTCTACTTAATTTAAGGGAGAAGCGTATCAGAAAGAACTACACAAAACAGGCCTTTGAATTGGCCCTTAAACCCTAAGTTATACGTTCCTTGGAGACCTTTGGAGGAGAACATTGTAGACTCTGGAAATAAGAGCAAAAGTGTTGGGTAGAATCTAGTATGGTTGAAACAGATATGAAGGAAAAAGCTATTTATAGCTAAATAAGATCCCCTTTTAGTCTACAACTTCTGACAAGTCAGGGTAATTGGATATTTTCACAATTTTTGATGAAAATTGTGAAATCGGCATAATCATGTCTAGTGAACATGGTTTAATTCTCTTTCATTTTACGTACACAATATAGATCAACACGAAAATTTTTAAAAAGATGTTTTGGGAAAAATAACAGCCATAACTAACAGAATAGAACATTAGACAGGAATCAGAAGACATAATTCTAGTTGTAGACATGGCATTAACTAAAAGGTCTTCAATGGCTACTTAACCTACTTTACCTTTTTTTCCTCACTCAAATTAAAGTATTGAACTAGAGAACATGTAATATCATTTCTTATCTATAGGCCTAGCAATGTATAAACTATACCCAGCATTTACTGAACTTTTACTATACACCTGACATTGTACTAAGTACTTTTTATATAGTACATAGGTGGCATAATTATCTTTATTTTATAGATGAGGAAACAGCTTCAGAGAAGTTAAGAACTTGCTAGTCACATTATCTTGTTAAGATGGGAGAGCCGAACTTAAAGTTACCGAGCTGACTTGCTAAAATCTTTCCATGCTCAAATTAATCTGATCAAGAGAGACACATAGGACCATTACAATATAACCAGACAAAAATTCAGACAAGTCCTTGGAGGCAAAGAATTCTTGAATAAAGTGATATGATGTGTCAGAAAAAAAGTCAGCATTATCATATAAAAAAGCAAAAATAAATTATGTTATAACTTCAAGAACAAATTCTTATAACACCAAGATAAACCCTTTACTGAAACTGCATTTCAAACTCCCACTGAATTCAAAGGAAGATTTATACTTTGAGCTTACTGGGAGAAAATATTCCTTTACATATACGGCAGAAATGAATTCAGTCAAATAAAAGTATTATTTATCATCATTATTAACAAAATATTTTAAATTACTAGTTTCAATATTGCATGATTTTATTATTTTTTTTTTACCACGAGCTTATTCAATATATTGTGGTTCAATAGATTTAGATCTATGAAACAGAATCAAAATTGTTCAAAACCAGTTTTACATAAAATTGTTCAAAATATAAATATTAATTTAAATGAGAAAAATATTAATTTAAAACATTTATAATAGTTTTTGTCTCAACACGAAGCACTAAAAAATGTGTAATGTGATTTTAATGTTGCTCTTTTTGAATTACTAATTTATGTGCAATTCTTTAAGTTCCTAAAGAAAATATTTAGTTTTATCGTAGTTTCTTACTATTTAATTGATAGTTAAAATTAATAGTTTATTAAAAACAAAATTTCATTTGAGATAAGGTTTACTTTACATTATAGAAGAGTAGACACAAGTTATTTATAAGCTTTTGTTACCTAATTCATTCCTCCTTCAGCAAACACAATGGATGTAATAGCTGTCTACTCAAAGGGCCTAGAAGCAAAGATATACCAGTAGCATAAGCACACCTATGCCCTAATCTTGGTTTCTAATGAGCATTCCTCACTAAAAGGAAACAGGGCTCATTAGGGAAACAGCTGATTCTAGTGCTGGGCAGGGGAAAGTTCAAAATGAGACTGGTGCAACTTATTGTGCAAGAAAGTGCTCAAAAAATGATGGGAAATGTTACGAAAAAAAAAAAAGACGTAAGAGTCAGTTTGAAAAGCTTGGGACAACTTGAGCATTACAAATGATAGTGACAATATTTTGGACATGAAGTAAAAATCTGAGGCCATACTGATATCAACAAATGAATAAATAAAGAGGGAAGAAGAAAAAGTTGTGTCTTACAGTAGAGTGCAACTAACCAATATAGAATAAATGATGGAATTAGTAGATCATGTTTGACAACTATCAAGGTAATAATTTATTCAACCACAAATCATTAATAGATGCTAAATTTAGTAGAGAAAAATTGATGAGGAATCATTTTCCTAGTCAGCATCAAAACATCTTCCCATAAATTACTCATAAATTATACAGGAAAAGTAGTAACTTCACACAGAGTAACCTGGCAAAATACAACCTTAACTGAGTTATCACAGTTAGTGCCACCAATTGTTGGCCACATTGACATTACATGCCTTTGGATGTGATGCCATGAGAAAGCTTGAGGGTCATTTCTGTGGTATGTGCACCAAAAGTTCATAGCTCAACCTAATGATAAAGAAACAATCGGACAAATCTAAATTGATGGGCATTCCACAAAATAACTCACCTAACTTTTCAAAAATGTCAAGATCATGAGAAACAGAGATAGACTGAGGAACTGTTCCAGTATGAAGGAGGCTAAGGAGATATAGTAGATGTAATGTGTGAGCCTAGAATGGATTCTGAATTAGGAAAAAAGCTTTAGAGGACACTACTGAGACAGTTGGTAACATGTGAATAATGGACTCTGGATTAGATGATATTGTTTCAGGGTTACATTTCCTGATTTTGGTAAGTGTACTGTGGTTATGAAAAAGAAAACCTTTGTTTTGAGGAAATACACAGTAAAGAACTTATGGAGAAAAAGGTGAGGGAACTGATTTATGCTTAATTGATCAGGGTAAAGATAGATGATAGATAGGTAGATAGATAGATGAGAGAGTAAATGATAAAGCCATATGCAATATAACAGAAAAGTAACTACTATTTTTGCAACTGTTCTTAAATACAAAGTCCATAAAAATAAAATATGAAATAAAATGAAAAATTCAAAATGATAAAACCAATATCATAAGTAATTTTTTCTTTCTTTTTCTTTACCACTTGAGTCGCCATGTTCCCCCAGAATCCATCCATGGCAGCTGCTGGGATGAATGCCAAGTTTTTCAGCCATAAGGTAGCGAAATCTAGCAGAATCCAGATTACATCCACTTCCAATCACGCGGTGTTTGGGTAATCCACTTAGTTTCCAGGTAACATATGTAAGAATGTCCACTAAAAATTTTGGAAATAATATATGTAAGTAAACCAAAACCAGTTTCGACTGTTAGGCAGCTTGGGGTGCCCTGACTTCCCTTTTCCCACTTCCCCATTCCTCAAATGAGATGTGGCCAGAAAGACATAAATACTTTAACACTTCATTGTTAGAGGGAACAGGAATGAGAGAGACAAAAACAAGCTTTTAAGCCTTATATGAAGATGGCAAGACATGAAAAATGCAATACTGTGCTTTCACATTTGCATTATTATGTGAAACAAGAATACATAAGAACCTTGCAGATTGATTAACTTCAAGTTGAAAAAAAGGAAACAGGTTGAACCAGGTTGTCAGTTAAGGTTCCACCAATTGTAACATTCGTAATTATGATTGTCATCATAAATCAAGATGCCTTTGATTACTAAACTTCCAAATCTTGCTACCATAAATTTTTCTGGGCATGAGGAATTCTTCAGTAAACAATTATGATAATACATAGTATTAAACATTTCTATTTAATAAAAGAACATCTATGTCAGAACCTTTGCTCCAGTGTGGCATAGCCTTAAAACCACAGAGATAAAACTTCTGCTGATCCAGATAGGATCACAGCACTTGCAGGCTAAGATGTAAAAAGTAAAAAATGTGCACACAAGGAAGGTGAAGAGCTGAAAGTTAATGCTGCAGCCTCCACCCCCACACTACTCTGTCGACAATGGCTATGATAATTCAAGGACATTTGGTACTGGATAACTTTTCCTTGCCAACTTTGATTCAGTGGAAGTGACTCCCTGGAAAATCCAGCTGTGAAGCTATATCTAGAAAGTTGTATAATCATTTAGTGATGCCTGCCTGAGGCACAGGATGCAGAACTTACTATGTGCCAGCTACTTATCATTCCTATTCTACATCTACCTGATTTTTTGTTTTGTTTTGTTTTTGAAACGGAGTCTGGCTCTGTTGCCCAGGCTGGAGTGCAGTGGCGCGATCTCGGCTCACTGCAAGCTCCGCCTCTCGGGTTCACGCTATTCTCCTGCCTCCGCCTCCGGAGTAGCTGGGACTACAGGCGCCCGCCACCACGCCCAGCTAATTTTTTGTATTTTTAGTAGAGATAGGGTTTCACCGTGTTAGCCAAGGTGGTCTCGATCTCCTGACCTCGTGATCCGCCCGTCTCGGCCTCCCAAAGTGCTGGGATTACAGGCGTGAGTCACCGTGCCCGGCCTGGCACATATATATTTATGAGAAGTTTTATATATAAGACTGAACCATTTAATAAACTCCAATCTTGGTTTGCAGAGAGTAAAAATATGGAAATAACCTCCGTCCTCGCTGGCTCTCAACTCTCAATACTCAAGACACTGTGGGGATTCCCCTAGCTCTTATTCACA